ACACAAAGGTTTTACTCACTGGATAGGAAGTCATTAATCATTGTAGGTACCCTGTGAGGACATCGCAAGGTCGTCTGTTTTCACAATTATCCATAGATATTTGAGCTCACAGCCGGCAGGTATCCACGAGCCATGCAGCTTAGATCCCGTGACCTCGTACGAGTTATGTAAGCGCGCGAGTTACTTAACGCTTTTTGATGTTGTAGAACATGCTACTGCTGTTGAAGTTCGTGTTGACTGACTTTCTTTGATATCTCCACACTGTTATTATTATGATATTTTTTATATATGTTTTTCATTTGCTTTACTATTACTATTATTACTTTTGCATATGTATATGTGTGTATATGTATGTGTGTGTATATGTATGTGTGTGGGTATATGTGTGTGTGTATGTATGTATATATGTATGTATGTTATTTATATTTTTTATTTTATTTTTATATATTTTTTTTTCAATTCTATTTATAGTTAATATTATAGTTAAACATACACACTTGTTTCTGTTGTATGTAAGGTAACATACATCTCCTCTAGCGATTATAGATATAAATATAATTAATCAAGAATTAACAATGATATGCAAACTTACCTTAGGTATTTTTATTCCGTACTTTTGCTTTTTATAGCAATTAGCAGGTTTATGGCACTTTTCCCCCTTTCTGTACAAATTATTTCATTTTAATTACCCATACTGTTTCCACCATGGTATTTCCCCATCTCATCGAAATGATGGTGTGGACTTTTTCATTCCTCTTTTTTACATGTTTTCTTTCTTTTCTCTACTAATGTAAAAACATTTTCTTTGACTTTACTGGATGCTTTTACTCTCCCCCAGTTGACTCTGATATCTATTTGCAAACTTATATGTTGAAAGACATGACATTTTGTGTGTATTTAAAACAAGTACATGATGGTTTTGATGTGCATCTACCCGCTGCCTACAATAGAATGTTTGAATGTATAGATGCCGGTTGACATCAGTCAGTAAAGACAGGCAGTGGGGACATTTGCAGTCGGGATACACTCATATGCAGCTTGTAAACTAAATAATTTCACTTTTCTATCCCGACATCTTTGCGTTTTCAGCAAATCTGTTAGTATTATCGCATCTCTTCTAATACTCTGTTGTGGAGACGTACATCCTAACCCTGGCCCAGTACTAAATACTTTAAAGACAGTCCACCTAAATGTTTGCAGTCTCAAAGACAAATTGGATGTTATAGAAGTTGAATTCAATTATTTTGATATCATTTGCATAACTGAAACGTGGTTGCATAAAGACATTCCGAACGATGATATTCTTATACCGGGATTTCAACCTCCATTCCGCAAAAATCGAGGGAGTCGCGGGGGCGGTGTGGCTATATATGTTAAAGACAATTTGTATGCGGAGCATATGCACCAGCTAGACATTGCTGGACTTGAAGCCGTATGGGTTCGTGTTAAATGTCAACATCGTACCTACCTCATAAGTACCTTCTACAGAGCTGACCGGAGCATTGCGTACTGGGAACTAATTGATCAGTCAATTGGAAACGCTGTCGATCTTAACTTATTTACCGTTATTACTGGCGACTTTAATGAAGATATTTTAAATGAAAGCAATCGTAAAATTCAATTATTGGAATTTTTACACAGACTAACCCAAATTATTGACAAACCAACTCCCAATCACCCCGCAATCCAGTACTTTAATTGATCTCATATTGATATCCTCTATGCAAAATGTGCAGGATCGCGGGGTGTTAGACCCTATTTGTCCGATATAAGTTGATATCAAACCTGTTAGACCCAGGTGTGATACATTTAAACGTAAAATATATGATTATCAACATATGGACGTTAATGGTATGATTTCTGACATCAATAATCTTGACACTAATGACTTATTCTTTAAAAACCACGTGGATGACATAGCAAATAAATTAACGACTATAATAAGGGATACTTGTGACAAGAATATCCCAATTAAAATTGTTACTATTCGACCATCGGATCCACTTTGGATGAATAACGAAATTAGATCGCTAATACGTAAGCGCAATAAACATCATCAGCTCGCTAAGAGGAAAAATTCTGTTAACGGTTCGGCTCGATTCAGACAAAGTAGAAATAGAATAATCTCGGCTATCCGAAAAGCGAAAAGAGCGTATGCAAATAAACTAGATGAAACGATAAATCGATCCACTACGGACAAATGTTGGTGGAAATTAGTCAATAATTACGTGAAGAGAAATAAAAAAAACTCTAATTTCCCCCCGTTGATTTGGAATGATGTCGTAAGCGAAGATTTACAAGATATAACTGATTCCCAAAATGATTATTTCACTCGGCAATCGCGAGTAGAAAATCCGGATTCAACATCCCCCAATATCAATATAAAGACAATCAATAGTCTATCAGAAATTAATCTTATTAACAGTGAAGTATATGATATCTTAATGAGTGTTAATACTGCGAAAGCAACCGTCCCTGACGGCATTGGAAATAGAATTCTTAAATTAATCGCTGTCAGTATTTCACCCCTTTTAACGGGACTTTTTAATCTATCACTTCAACAACGCGTATTCCCGGCAGTTTGGAAAGAAGCAAGCGTTATACCGATTCACAAAAAGGGAAGTGTAAATGATTGTACAAATTACAGACCAGTAGCCTTAACTAGTTGTGTATCTAAAATATTTGAGCGATGTATATTCAAACATGTTTTCAACTATCTCAGAGGCAGTAACATCTTATCCAATTTACAGTCAGGTTTCATCCCAGGGGACTCTTGCGTGAATCAGTTGACATATTTGTATAATTTCATAGCCAAGGCAATGGACGAAGGTAAGGAAATACGTGCAGTATTTTGCGATATCAACAAAGCTTTTGATCGAGTAGGGCACAAAGGTCTCGTGCATAAGTTAAAATCTTGTGGAATCGATGGTTCACTATTACAATGGTTTAAAAGTTATTTAGAATATCGATCCCAGCGTGTAAATGGTTATAGTTCTAATATTAAACCGGTAAAAGCTGGCGTCCCGCAGGGTTCTGTTCTAGGACCACTTCTTTTTTTGGTCTACATAAATGATATTGTTGAAGGCATTGACAGTAATATCCGATTATTTGCCGATGATACTTCTATCTATGTAATAATAGATGACCCTTACGTAGCGGCGTTTAGTCTGAATAATGATCTACTAAAAATAGCGAACTGGGCAAAAACCTGGAAAATCGATTTCAACCCATCTAAAACTAAAACAGTCTTATTCAGTAGGAAACCAAATTCAAATCCTCATCCAAGCTTGTTTTTCAACGACGTTCGAATTGAAGAAACTTCGAGCCATAAACATTTAGGTGTAACTCTTCAAAACGATTGTACATGGGATATACATATAAACGATATCGTTAAGAGAGTTAGCCCCATGATAAATTGCTTAAGAAGCCTTAAATATTGACTAACGAGAAACACCCTAAATCGTATGTATACGTCGTTTATACTTCCGATCTTTGACTACTGTAGCCATATTTATGACAATTGTACCAAAACTCAAGCAACAATCTTGGAAAACATGCACTTAGACGCGTTACGTACGATATGTGGAGCTGTTCGCGGCACCAGTCACGATAAAATCTACGCTGAAACATCCTGTTTCTCTTCGCGAAAGAAGAAGAAGAGCTAAACTAATCACATTTTTCAAAATGTATCATAACAGATTACCCCCCTATCTAAACGAACTCGTCCCTCCCCTCGTCTCTCAAGTCAGTAACTATCCGTTACGTAACGCATCGCATTTGCAAACTATTGCCTGCCGTACTGCTCTATATGACAATTCATTTCTACCGGACGCTTCAAGTTTATGGAATGCTTTACCGCAAAATATTAAATCTCTTACAGACGTCAATGATTTTAAATCTGCCTTAAGTCCCAGAGCTAAAGACATTCATTTCGATCCAGGTTTCGATATAGGTTCAAGAGTTTGTCAAATCATCCACTGTCGCTTAAGGTTAGGATGTAGCGATCTCAACGCTGACAAACACAACAGACATATATCAGAGAGAGCAGATTGTTTGTGTGGCCACGCTACTGAAGATGACGGTCATTATTTATTTGTATGTCCCAGATTTGATTCTGTAAGAGTAAATAAATTTTATTATACCAATGACTTTTCATTAGAAACAATCTTATACGGAACGTCTTCCATGGACCCAGAAATTCAATCACATATCTTAAAATCAGTCCATCTATTCATAATTGAAACTAAGCGCTTTAACTGAGCAAGTCATACACTAAAACCTATAATTCTCAAAGCTATACTACTATGGATCCCGACTGCAGATGCCATAAATGTATACAGCCATCATGATTTTAATTTTCCGACTACATGTCATACCATCTACTTTCATTTTAGATATCATCATTTCTTGTCATGATACTGTTTCATATATCTATGTATATTGGAGCGGTCTTCATATAAGTTCTTTTGAGCTTGTTGACCAATCCAGTTCATGAAAATTCTGTCGTTGCTTTTTCATGAAATAAATATGTTTAAACGAGTTAGAGATAAGAGACATTGAGAAAGTCCACGTTATTTCAGCACAACAGACACAAACAGACTACAAACACTGGTATATAATGTAAAGTCACAAGGTAAATATGTATATGTAAGTTCCCATTCGATTCGTTAATTATAAAGGAGTCAGTCCAAAACCAAACTGACTTTTGCTTCTTACCAACATGTCACACAAATTTACTTTCAAACTAGAACTCCACACCAACACTACAGATTCCTCGGGGAGAAAAAGAAACACATCGGAAATAATGATAATGGGAATGGTTTCTGTCATTTGGACAGTTTGTAATCTTGCGATTACACTTGCTCAGTAGATAACAGATTCTTTGACGGTTTTGGGTTGAGTCCCACTTGGATTTCAAATCCAATCACAACCCGTTGGGCACCAAATCACTTACACTCACAGTCAGCGATCTAACCCACTGAGCCACTGCGGCTTCAACAGAGATTGGAATCTAAAAACAGGTCTAGGTTACGTACTTTGTGCACCCCTCTGACAATTGTTAATTGACACAGCTCCTATGGCCGAAAGTATGAATACACTATGCCTTTAGAAAGGGGTCAAATGCAACACATGTATTTTATGTCTTCTCACGGCTGATGCGTTATGACAATGTCAAAAGAATTACGGTATGTCATTGCTGTATGTTAAAATCCTTTATTTTTAAAAAAAGCATCCTCACAAAGCTGGCGATTAGGTGCCTGATTCTGAGGGTGTGGGTTCGAATCCCGGATGGGAAATAAGCCATTGGACATTGCTTATTTTCCCCCGGTGTCCTTATCAGTTTAACCCGACATCATCTTTATTTCAATATCACGTTTTACTAGGTATCGAAAGTAAGTTGCTTGGTTATTATATTGTGCACACCTAGGACGATGGCCACCATGTTAACAGCATCTTGTACAGGAATAATGCTCAAAATGCTTTACAGTGTTCAGGTACGATGGTAATTTCTACAACGAAACAGTTAGGGTAACACATGTACACTGGATACAAAGAACCGTATAGATAACTGAAATCACCATCAAACCATTGTTTATCAAATGTCTTTGCTGTGATTCATGCAAAATATATTGGAAACAGATGTTGTAAAAAACCGCTTTTACAAATTACTTTTTTATATGTACGCTATCTAGTTATCCATACAGGAAGTGGTTACACTGTCAGTTCAGGTGTGTAACTCTAACAATATCCTGTTAGACCTATGATCCATTACAACATCATACAAATTAAATTGTATCGGAAATGATAGAAAAAACCTCCCTGTGCCATTGTTATTGTATTTGTCTACGGCATCTGTCTGTTAATATCTGTTGTTTTTTCGTAAACGTTCAGTTGCAAAACTGCCCATCGTTGCGTCAGGTTTGCTTTATGTAATGGAATACTACCTACAGGGCAGGACATCCTGACCCTTTTTATGAACGCTTGGTAACAACACTCTTTTTCATCACTATTAGCGTGTGGGTGTGCGTGTGTGCGCTTGTGTGCATGCATGCAAATGCGTGTGTCAGTCCTAGCTGACCGAGGTAACATGCCACACTTTAACATGGATAATCTGCTCGGACACTGACACTGACACCTTTGTCATGATTTAAACTAGTATCATGTTAGACCTATAAATCATACCAAGTTCATAAAGTCTGTTGTGATTACATCTGTCTGTTAATATCTGGGGGATGCACATTCATCTAACTTTAAAACTGTTCACTATTTCTTCACCAAACGTGGCACATAGATAGATCTGGTGGTGTACTGGTGCCTTTTGGTAGTTTTTGGTTTCTGAATAAATATTTTTTTAGTTTCCATGGCAACAAGTTTGGCTTTGATTTTTTTTTTTATTCGAGCTCTTTGGTGGTAGTTTCATTTCTGGAGCAGAACTTAAAAACCTTTCAAATCACTCTTATCATTATATTTACACAGAAGAAATAGTTCATTAAATATTTCATTATGATTTTTTATTTACACATTTTGATGATTTGCGTTATTATGATGTTTGTGTGTCATTATAAAACTTTTGGAGATTTTGACACTTTTCATATTGCTGTTACCTGAGTAGGTTACTATCCACAAGATTCAGTTAAATAGCTAATCCCTAATTAGCTGGGGTTAATCCATTCTATCAGATAGGGATAAGGTGTGTTTTGTTTGCTACTGTACCTACTCCACTGTCTCATTTGAAACCGTTATAGTAATCCCTGAAAGAGTCAGTGATTTCATGAAATCCCTGTGACCCCCAGGGATTTCATGTATTCCCTAAAATTTCATGCCAAACCATTTGACATAGTCATAACTAGTAGACATTTGCATGAAGAGTATTTTGCCTTTGCGGGGGATATTGATGTCTTTTATATCGTCGTTTGATTACAAAATTGCCGATCGCTTCGTTAGATTTGCATTATGTAATGGAATTGTTGGCGGATGGTACGTATAGGCAGGAATTTCAGATCCCCTTCACAAACGTTTTGTTGATAACACTCTTTTTCATCACTATTGGCCTTCTTTTGTCCATGTATAATTTGTGTGATGACCTTCGACAGATGTTTCCATATGTATTCACAACATGTGCAATTATTGGAATATGCTTTAAGTGAAGTGTCAATGGTGATCCTGACCTTCTGCAGCGTAATCTGAAAATGAAACAGCCAAGACCCTTCCACGCGCATCGCGTGTTATGAGTTGGTAAAACTCCCAATGCTAGATACTCAAACTATATTGTAACCAATCAGTTATTTCGATCTTTGACATCAACACAATATATATTCTCAGTTTGAAGTCTCTTTTAATCTGTTCTCATGGCAGAGATTTCGTATGAAGTTGCAATGGCTTTGTCACTTTATTATAACTATCTAGAGGCTTTTAAGTCATATTGACCGGTGTGCTGCACACTCGTTGAAACGTATGTGATACAAGTTTATAGTGTCTTTAAAAAATCGCTTTAGAGTTCACACAGTGTTGTCCAACATTCACTTCCTTTTTCTTTTAATTGACAAAACACATCCTTCTTGGAAGATGCTTAGCACATAGTTATCTAATGTCAAGTTTACATAATAGAGCATTGCTTAAAGTCATGGCACAGTTACTGTCGTTTGTGTCAATCATCAACTTACTGTAAAGGACACAGATGAATTTAGATGGTTCTCATGTGGGTTTCCAAGAGATTAGTTGTAATTAAGAGCATTTTCTCCCTCTCAGTCACAATGGACGGGGCCCATTTCTGGTGTCCCCCGCCGTGATATTGCTGGAATATTGCTAAAAGCGGCGTAAAACCAAACTCAGTCAGTCAGTCAGTCATAATGGACGGGGTGGTTCACTATTCGGTGCATGAGATTGCTGTGCACACCCACCACTTTACTTCTTACCGTCTGGTAAAGTTCATTACACAGTCGTACATACACGTGCACTTTTCATCTTCTTAAAATGTCACTGGACGCTTTCTGGCCTGATTTCCTTGATGTATGTTCAACCTTCTTCCTTTCTGATTTTTCCATGTATACTTTTAAATACATGACATGCTTTAAATTTAAAGAAACCACTTCTTTTCTTCTTTGCAACGACGTTTTAGGGACCACTTCTTGGATATTGCGTAATAGTATAGCCATAACCAGAATACTGACAGTCTTAGAACAGAATTCCATATCCTAAATCCCCATTTAATGTGATTGAGAAAAAAATACAATCGAAAATCCAAGGTACCCAAGCACGGAAATCCTGTTTCGAAGTCAGTACCAGACCCCCTTCATCCTTCCTCGTCAGATTCACTTTCCAATTCCCGCCAATAATCAGATCATCAGATTTTTGTGACAAGAGAATTCGAATCATCTTATGCAAGTTTATAAACAAAAATATCCACTTTGGTTTGGTGTAACCTTTGTATAAAGTTCTTGTTGGACCAATTCACATTTCATACAGGTTATTTCACCTCGTGAGATTTCCTCTTGGGTCACCATTTTGTGATCCAAGTTATTACCACCGACGTTGGCTGACTCACAGGGAGATAAATGTCATTTTTTAGTCGCAGCAACCTGTTACAGATGGTGATCAATCACCGATCTACATGCAGTTGGTTACATTTTATGTAGGGTTATGTATTCACTCACAGCTTCTAAATTTCATGTTCAGAAACTTATCTCGACTTTTCTCAAAACTAGCGTCTTTATAATGCTTTAGCTTCACTGTTTGACGTGAGGGCATTGCCCTCGATCGTTTCTTTGTTTGGTTCAATATCAGCTGTAAATGGCGTTCATAACAGAGAAATCTACGATGAAACCTCTTCAGTTCTCGACGCAATCGTCAGCACGCCAGGGGGAAGATGCTAAATACTCACAGAGTATATTCCATTTAGTAATAATAGGTGCACGTAACATGGATTCACCCAAATATCATTAGGTGGCCAGTGCCACACACACACAGCAAATGCACCAGTACAGCACGGTGTTTTTCACTTTGAGGCTCGTAATATGTAGGACACCATACGTGTAGTGTAGCTAAGCACTTGTAACCTCATTGTACACTCAAGATTGCATAATATCTGTGAGTCATCTGTCTCATTTGATTTCAGCCTTTGATTCCTTTCTTACAAATGCTGGGATTGCACAATTACCAATGAAGATAACATTCAGTTGTGTTAAATGAATGTTGTTTTATACAATTGTTCCTTTTATGTATTCATTATATCATATAAGGTGTACGTTGTGGACCGTGTACCATGCTGGAAGGTCAATTCAAATATGCGTTCAAACCTCAAAAAGAAGAATTTGAACGCGGCATGTATTAAGCGGTTAATACATATGCCACAGGCTCAATTGTTCATACAAAGTACAGCACAGCACCCCTGGCACATTTTACAATTTTTGTCCCTAACAGCTTGCCATACAGATGAGCTGGCTGCCAGCAGGTACATCCTGGGCTCTGGCACATGCTGTTCCTGCAGTCTGTGCACTCAGGTGATATAAACGCTGCATGTGCCATGTGCCCGGCACACACCATGCTGGCAGTGGCAGCCTCTATGTAAATAATAATAATTACAGGTACGCGAGTTTGTTTGAATTGTTCATATTATAACAATTTCTCATAATTGAGTCAGGTGTAAGCCTCTATGTAAATAATTATATTTAATAATGGTCTAGTAACCCTTTACTTTCATAATTATTTATATCTAATAATTATGTAAAATGTCACAATAGTTTTACTTGTTGTATTGATTTATAAGGTCACACCATGCTGGCAGTGGCAGCCCTCTATGTAATTTCCCTAATTACAGGTTTATGGCACGGTCGTGTTTGACCAACCCCTAATGGCAAATGGCAGAATAAAGAGATTGAACACCAGCCCAGTGGTCGTGTTATAAAACCCTGCGACACATATTTCCAGCAAATACTCCAAATTACAGTAGAAGAAAACGTAAAAACTACGTATCTGCTCTTGCTCATAACCATCCACAGAGCATCTGGTTGGAACAAAAGCAACGAATTGCAACATATCTTCCACGAGATCATATCTTCCACGAGATCAGATAGAAGTACATATATACATATAAATCCACAAAACAATGAGTCAACACGAAAAACCCATAATGTGGAAGACTACATTGTATTAATATGTAAAGTTTCATATTGTTACAAACTCTTTTAATACCGATTTTCTAATAAATGGAGATTACATGGTATATTTTACTCACCACATATTAGCGTGAGTGAGTTTTGTTTTATGCCGCACTCAGCAACAGTTTAGCTATATGGCGGCGGTCTGTAAATAATCGAGTCTGGACCAGACAATCCAGTGATCAACAGCATGAGCATCGATCTGCACAAGTGGGAACTGATGACATGTGTCGACAGGGTCAGCGAGCATGATCACCCGATCCCGTTAGTTCCAAATATTAGCAATTTGGATGCCAGCTCGCAAATTGGCAACCTGTTTGCACAAGGAGTGGTCGATTCTAAGCGGTTCACCTTTGAGAAGGATGGAATATGTTCACTTTGGAACAATTACTTTCATTGAATGTAATTGACCATTTTAACCATTCGAACCATTTTAAATTGACTGAGATTTAAATAGTCATAATCCATTGTAGGGATCAAATCTCGATTATGGTTGTTGCATTTACGGCTCAGCTCGTAATCATATCTTGACGCCATTCACGATCTGGGTCTTCTGTTATGTCTTGGATCATTGGGACCTCACCCATTGACAGTTTGTATGTTCAAACAAATAAACAAATTAATTTCAGACGAATTAAATAGGCATTACAATATATCACTAAACTTGGCTACAATACTGCTAATCCAGCATTTAACGATCATTGGCCAAAATCTACTCCATTAGCCATATATAAAAGTCGCACCTGTTCTGGTCTTTCCCGCCGTTATGAAGTTGTATTGCAGCGGTAGGGCATTGGACATTATTGTAATACATATTCATGTCTATTAAAAGGTGAAGATGCACCTTTCTGCATCCCTTGCAGTACGCAAATAACAATCAAGCACATTTTGCTGGAATATGTTCATTGTGCGCTTATCAGACCGCTTTTTCATTATGGTTTTTAACCATTTAGTTTTGCATATTTAAATGAAATCAAACTATATGACAAAACATAGAATTTTATCTCAATAGTCAGGTTTTACCATTGAAGGTAATATTTGAGTGAGATTTTGGTTATTTTCAATATCATGCTATATATATTATAATACCAAAAGATATTTCTCGCGAATAGCGTCAAAATTTCTGATGCGGCGTAAACCAACTTTCACTCACTCCATCAGTCAGTCACTCACTCACTAGTTTCACTACACGACGCAGAAACTAATAAGTAAATGTCATTGCTACTGTCATCGGTTCCCAATTGCGCAGATCGATGCACATGCTGTTGATCACTTGATGGTCTTGTCCAGACTCGATTATTTACAGACCGCCGCCATATAGCTGGAATATTGCTGAGTGCGGCGTAAAACTAAACTCATTTACTATATTCACTTGCAATAATATTTTGTTTTATTGTGTACCATCACCATTAGTTCGAGAAAAGCAAATGTATAAAATAAAATAAAATGTGCAATGACAGTGGTTAGGAGCTGAGTATATTCACTAATTACTTCATTAAGCCGAATGGGAATCGATGGTGATGAAATGACGTCATAATGTAGTTTTACTTCTGTTACGAAGCTGCTGGTATCAATATCTAAACGGTCTGAAGGTGTATAATTGCTCACAGTGGCGTAAATCAATATATAGTGACTCACTTGTAATATACTAGCTTAGAAATATTTAAAATACAGTGAACGAACATGGTATATAAGACTATGCTTCTCTAATAACACATCCTTGGGTATCCTCTGTGTTTTCGTACGCGTCATGTGGGTTGTCCGTTGAGTATAATCGTTGCAAGATAAGAGGTTCTGGTTGATTGTGCATCTTCTGAAGATACCGTTCTTTGTCTTCAGGCAGGAATGGACCCCAGTCAGTGGACGGGGAGCTTGCGAGACGGAGACGCTGTAAATGCATAAAACCCATTTTCAGGAAATGGTATATTGATCCAAACATATATGTGGTAGGGTTTGTAACTCAACACCTTTTTAAGAATATGTATATATTTTTAAGCGCAGTATATTTATACATCACAAACTGGCAGCTAAAACTGCTTATACTCGCACTTGTTTGGATGTTATAATCCTACTGTGAAAGCAGAAGCATTAACCACAGTACCTCGTTTAGTGACCAAGCTTTAGTTGTTGGCCCTTTACGTAGTGTGTCTTTTAAAAGTGTTCGTTTACATGCTCTCAAACTGGATCTAAATATATTATGTGATCAATTTGTAATTGATCTGGCCTTATTGGACATGATATTTCAGTCTAGATATATTTGCTATTACGATAAATTTATCCCTTCAAGCTTAAGTCAATACAGAGCTGAAATATTTCCGATGTGATATTAAATTTTAACTCACTAACTTTACAGGAATAGAAGTCACAAAACGATTTCCATAATCGTAAGAAATATCTGTGAAATTGTGAAATGCAGAGTCCATTGTACATTGTAGGCATATCTTTATGAATCACTGGCAGATGTGAAAACTTATGTTCGTTAAAAAAGTGGGCGTATCCTGCCCTGCTTTTAGCACCATCGAAAAAGAAAAGTGTTCACATGAACAAAAGAGGAACATGTCCAAATGGCGAATTGCACCCTGAGCACTTAAAAGAACCAACTCATCCAATGGAAGACACGCGAAGACGTTCAGATACCTAGTCGCTGGTATAGTAACGTGCAGTATCATTGGACAAAAAACTTTGACTGTGTCCCATTTCACCCCACTGAGAATGGGTACCTCATGAGGATGAGTTAGTTAAAACAATGCCAGAAAAAAAGACATCCGTTGATCAAGGGAACACTCCTGCCTTGAGCATGTACTAGTTGCATGGATATGTGCGCTATATAAATGTCCTATAATAATAACGTGTTAAAAGTGGAAGTGTCCTCCTCATTTTGGATGTTTTATTACGACCTTGACTGTTTCAATCCTGCAGATGCAATATTAATGACTTAATAGAACCTATTGCCACATATATCATATATGTACACCACGTTTCGTTACACATGTAAACCTACCTGAAGAAATGATCCTTTCTTCTTGAAAAGCTGGTATACCAACATGACAGGTATTGGCAATGACATCACAACCGCCATTAAGATTCCAATCAACTTTGCGTATTCGGGGTAGATGTACTCGCCATAGCTTGGAGGATCGTAGAGAAACAGGGAAAGAATCAGGGACGCCTGTGAGGGATAAGCAGACACTTGATGAAGCTGTTAGAACATCAAGTGAGTGAGTGAGTTTGGTTTTACGCCGCTTTTAGCAATATTCCAGCAATATCACGGCGGGGGACACCAGAAAGAACATCAAGGCAGTTATATCATGGAATATCAGCTTCATATAAACAGAAAGCAAGAGCCCGCTGCATGGATATGTAAATTGGCAATTTGGGAGGAACCTGGTTGGTCCTAACGCCAGTATGAACAGTATGGTAGTCTCATAGTATAGCATATATTTCGAAACGAAAGCCGGAACAAATACGTGAGTATGACAATTGTGGATTTGGAGAAACCACAAGTTCGAATATGGTGCTGACGATCCCGAGATCACACGATTCTGGTCATCCCTAGCGGCACAACTCTGAACAAGGAATCGTGATACAAGACAAATCTTATGGATAACAACTTCTTGATTTAGTTTACACAACGTTTACACAACGTGCGGTTATCCATAAGATTTGTCTTGCATTACTACACCAACTTCTAAATGCCTTTGAAGAATTTCAAGGAATCGGGAGTCCCACATGAGTAGGGCACCTGTGCTGTCACACGAGTGATGCGGTTGATGTGTATGTAATGTCTGTTGTACAGAGCCTAAAATACACCCTTATAACAGTAGGTATCTTCCTTCCCTGAGCTTACTCTGATGCCTATTGCATTAAGTGCACAAATAACGAATCACGTAAGTACTCACATCAGCAGGTACTAAGATAAGTTATGACTCAATAATCACAAATGTATCTCAGTATCGGATGCATGACCCTTTTTGAGCAGGACCTTTGATAGTCAACATTGCTTAAATGAGGCATTATTTTAACGTGGTCTGTTTAAAGCTGAACTTACGAAGAGGATGACAGGGGTGAAATAGGAAGACAAAACTTTCAGCAACCACGGGGGATGTCTTCCAATCATCATTTCAACATCGTCGCTAAATCTTTCACAACCTATGGAAAGTTAATTACATACTATAAACGACATTTAATGTTGACATCATAGGAATATATACAACGTTTGAAGTAATTTGTTTTGATGACAAACACCGGTAAGATAACATTGTCCTTCCGTTGGCCTGTGCAATCAAAACATGTGGCGTTTACATAAGAAATGCCACGGAAATATCTTCTGCAGCCTAAACTAATAGCAGCGGAAGCGTCTCCCACAAGTTTTCTTTTTGTGCAACAGAAGGCTTCGCCGCCAAAGCTCTGAAACATGTCCAGGAACTCATTTGGTATTTTTACTTACCATAGATCCAATTAATGGCGACACACTCTAGACAAGAAATGAGCAGAAAGTTGAACGAGCACGAATACCAGTCTAATAGCTGAAACAGGTACACACCACCCTGAAAAATGAAAAAATAAATGATGCAAGCATTATTTTATTCAGAAATCCAAATCTATAAGAAAAACAACAGTTCACCACAAAGCCTATCTATCTATGTGCAAAGGTCTGCACTGGAAAACAGCACAACTACCAATTTCAGTCAAAGTCAATAGGCCATCGAAACGCAAAAAAATATTCAAAAATCCAAACCTACCACAAGATACTAGTTCACAACCAGACCTATCTTTGTGCCATGTTTGGTGAAGAAATGATAAACGGTTTGAAAGTTCTGCTTCGGAAAAAACAACACCAATCGAAGTCAAACTTGTTGCCATGGAAACGCAAACAATATTAAATTCAGAAATCCAAGACTACCAAAAGGCTCCACCAGACCTATCTTTGTGCCAAGTTTGGTGAAGAAATATTGAACGGTTCTTATGTTCTGTTCTGCTAAAGACGAAGTTGCACGGACGGAGTGGTCAATTTTAAAAACCCCAGATAAACGCGTTGTGGGAGATAACAAAGGATTAATGATACTTTCTACTCTCCACATAGGAGTTTTAAAATAGTAAACTCTTTCCTCAAATTTGTCTGTTTTTCCCAACGTCACAGGTTACAGTGTGACAAGTTTGTCATTTGACATACATTTTATCGATATACCTCGATGCCATCATGTCTACAGCAACGGGTTCAATTCCTTCTATTTGAGATGTACGGAATAAATATACGACGCATGCTGAGTGTTCCAGGAGCCTCACTTCAGTTGCATAGGGGATGGAAATTCCAAAGTTGAACAGGCACACTCCAGCAGTGACATACACTCTCCGATGTTGCAGGTACTTTGGGTTCGTTTCTATTATGGCAGATATGATCGTTTCCAAGAAAACAAACTGTAATAAAATACATATTTATAAGATATCCATATTTAGAATGAACACGAAATCTTCCTTGATATGCTGTGTTGTGTAAATAAGAAAGTCGCCCTTTACATTTCTTTTGTTTTGCCTCCAAACATTATACAGTACATGACAAGTGATTTCATTCTTGATTAGAATGGGTGGTTGCTTGCTTATGGATTACTAAACGGTACCGGTACTATCATACGCACACATTTAGTATTATTTTAACTAGCGATAGACAACATTACGTACCAAAAACAAACTAAAAGAAATATAGTTATGTAAGATACACTTTTGGGATGAGAAAAGACCCAGTGAAATCAAATGCCTCAATTGATTTATTTATTTTGGAAATGTTCACCAAAAACCAAACGTTTGCAAGAACATGTTTCAAGTTTGATCAGCTATTGTCTAGGCTACGGACATTTATTCCAACTGTATATTTACCGCAGAATCTATTCCCATTGTTAGCAGCATGATGAAGAACAGAACTGCCCACAACTGAGAGACTGGTAGCTGGGCAATTGCTTCGGTCAGGATGATGAACCCTAGCCCAGAACCTGGTACACGCAGCTCGGATTTAGTAGTGATAGTATTACATATAGTCATATGCATTCAGATGATATGCGAGTTGATTGAGGAACACTGTTTAGGATTCTTCCCTCAATATAACGGCGGGGATTCCCCCTTAACTTGATCAGAAGATGCAACGTTACCTGGTGAGCACAAACAATGGTTGTTTGGCAATGCTGTTAGGACGCAGTACCGGAAGATGATTAAGCTCATACGTAAATCAAAACGACAATACAAGAAAATAAAATCAATGTGAAGTATATACACACAAAAGGTTCTTTCTCTGGTGCATTTTATGGCGCCAATTTTCCAACTTAGTTTTGAGTAACTTCATGTAAATTCAGTACTTTCTAAGAATAAGTGGCCCCATTTTCAAACACTATGTCTATAACTGGTTATGTTTAAGGGAAAACAAAAGGCATATGCAGCAAGGGCTATTACTATGTCAAACATTGTTGTAAGACAGCAATTGTCTTGTCTTTTTTAGATTATGACTAGCAACATCATTCTGTATAAATTGAGTTGTCTGACTAAAATACTTTATGAGAAATGTATCCCCTTTTCAGACAGTATGCACATTTGGAAAACAAGTATTGGCCATGGCTCTTTAAACATTTTAAACAGGTACCAGTAATCTAAGTCATTTAAGATCGTTAACCAATTAAATCGTTGTGTAAGATGTGAGTTCTTGTACAGTTTTGATGACAATGTGTCCCATTGAAAACACACGGACGGCCCCAATGTCGGAAAGAAGGGACTGACGGAGGAACTCAGTTCTAATATCTCCCCACTCAGGAGGGGGCGGGGATAATTAACCACTTTGTCGAATCCACATTATTGTTTACCCGATGTCACAACTTCTGATATAGGTATCTGAGCCTGATGTGCCAGGAAGCCAAGTGTAGAAAAGACCACAAGGCCACAGAATATACTGGTGGCTTCACCAATCACAGTAAGTAACATCACGTCTCTGAAAAGACAATTTTATAACATTATAACTTCCTTGTGATCCATATCTAGAACAACTGCAACAATAAAATCTGCATGGTTTGCCAATCAATGAATTAATCTAAACGTTAAAAATCACAGATGTAAACAACGTCTACATATGTGAGATGTGCAAGAATGAGAGTATGAACTTGAATGATCAGTCAATAGCGATCTGTGTGGCAGCGACCATTTTCCGACCATTCTTAAAACAATAACTCCTGCTGATGTTGCTCAATCATCAAGATGGAACTTCAACAAAGCAAACTGGCCTTTGTTTGAATTACTCTGTATTGACAAACTAAATCCTGCTCGTTTTATTGATGCTCTTGATTCAGTGCAATTATTCTCTGATGAACTACACAAAATAGCCGTTGAGTGTATTCCTAGGTCCTCTACAAATCCACATATACGTACACCATGGTTTAATAATGACTGCAAACAAGCTAGAAAGGCACGGAAAAAAGCTGAATACTATTTCTGTCGCCACCCAATGGTGCATAATTTAGATAAATTTAAAATTTTAAACGCTAGAGCACGTCGAACCTTTAAGCAAAATAAGCGCCAGTCGTGGCAAAATTACGTTTCGAAAATAAATTCACGGACGCCGATGTCCAAGGTACGGAACATGATCCAGAGAATTAAAGGTAAGGGTACCAAATCAAGCATTAATCATCTCAAAACTGGGGACCAATTATTAACAGATAAATCTGACATCGCAAATAAACTGGGTGCAACACTTGCAAAACATTTTTCCTCGTCAAACTATGTTCCTAAATTTCAAAAATACAAAAAAATTGCAAGAAAAGAAACAAATCAATTTTCATTAGGATAATGGGGAAGACTATAATGAAATCTTCTCTATCCATGAGCTTCATACTGCTCTTGTACAAGCTAACAATACTACAACAGGAGCTGATAACATTCATTATCAACTCCTGAAACACTTACCTGAATCCTGTTTAGAAACACTATTAAATATTTTTTTGTACATCTCGTAAATTTCCTTCATCTTGGCGTGATGCCATTGTTGTACCCATACCTACACCTGGACGTGATCATACCGATCCCTCAAATTATAGGCCCATTTCCTTGACTAGTTGCGTTTGCAAAACCATGGAACGCATGGTCAATAACAGATTAACTTAGTACTTAGAGTCCAATAATTTAATCACAAATATTCAATGTGGTTTTCGTAAAAAATCGCAGTACCATTGACCATTTAGTTCGATTGGAGTCATTCGTTAAGAATGCCATTCTTAACAAGCAGCATGCAGTGTCAATATTTTTCGATTTAGAGAAAGCCTATGACACGACATGGAAGCACGGCATTTTACAAGATTTACATGATTTTGGTTTGAGAGGCCGTTTGCTTCAGTTTATATCCGAGTTTTTAACTGATAGACAATTTCAAGTCCGCGTGGGTTCTACCCTGTCTGACCATTATAAGCAGGATCAGGGTGTCCCACAAGGTAGTATTTTGTCTGTCACATTGTTTAGTGTTAAGATCAACAGTTTATCAAAGGTCTTAAGTGATTCAATCGATGGGTCACTATTTGTGGATGATTTTAATATTTCTTGTCTCGGTAAAAATATGCATACTATTGAACGGCAACTGTAGTTGTATTTAAACAAAATAGATAAATGGTGTCTTGAAAACGGCTTTAAATTTTCTAAATCCAAAACTAATTGTATCCATTTTTCTAGAAAATATAAACCGCATAAAGACCCTGAACTGTTTCTAAATGGCTCTCCCATCAAAGTTGTTAAGGAAGTCAAGTTCTTGGGTTTAATTTTTGACTCGCATCTAACTTTTCTTCCACATATCAAGGCCCTTAAAACTAAATGCATGAAGGCACTTGACTTGTTGAAAGTCGTTTCCAATTCTAAGTGGGGAGGGGATCAAGCTACCCTCCTACAATTATATCGGTCATTGGTTCGTTCCAAACTTGATTATGGCTCCATCGTATATGGTGGAGCCTGCAAAAGCAACCTAAAACTTTTAGATTCTGTCCACCACCAAGGTCTAAGACTATGTCTTGGTTCCTTTAGAACTTTACCTGTTGACAGCCTCTGCGTCGAGGCTGATGAGCCATCTCTTACACAACGCCGTATAAAATTAACTTTACAGTATATAACAAAACTTTATTCCAATGAGTCAAACCCTGCATATAACTGTGTCTTTAATCCAATATATGAAGATCTGTATAACAAGAAGCCTTCTCTTGTTCCGCCTCTTGGTATAAGAGTGAAACCTTTCCTTTCTGCTGCTGGCATTGAGCTAAAACATATACCTCCTTCCCGTCTTATTTCTTCTCCTCCTTGGCAATTGGTGAGGCCACAGGTTGACCTTACACTGACAACATTTAAAAAATCAGAAATAAATGAATTACAATATAAACAAGAACTTACTCAATTAAAAACTAAATATACTACATACACATCCTTATTTACAGATGGGTCCAAGCATGGTGGTGCGGTTGCTTGTGCCACCGTCATTGGATCCAGAACAATCTCTTCTCGATTACCCAATAACAGCTCTATTTTCACAGCAGAAGCTAATGCCATATTAACAGCTCTTAAATATATTAATAAACACCGTAAATATAAACAATACATAATCTTTCCGATTCTCTTTCGTGTCTTCAGGCTATTAAAAATCTTTCTTGTTAACATCCACTTTTATTAGAAATTATTGAATTGTATAATGACCTTGCTACTGGCCAATGGGACATTGTCTTTTGTTGGTTACTGGGAATACAATGGCCGATCTTGCTGCCAAGGCAGCACTCAACAAATCTGTGACACCACTTCTGATCCCGTACTCTGATTACAAAGCTGCTATTAGATCTTATATCCGTGATCTGATGCAAAAGAAGTGGGACACCCAAGTAGGTATAACTAAATTACATGCAATAAAACCAACTATCGGTTACACCTACTTGGGTTGTCAGTCCAGATTTGAAGAGGTCATCATACGACGATGTCGTATTGATCACACACGATATACACATGAGTACCTATTAAAAGGTGAGGATCCTCCGTTTTGTATCCCTCGTGATGAAAGAATCACGGTCAAGCATGTCTTGCTTGACTGTGTTGAATATTCTATCACGAGGGATAAGTATTTCAATGTCAAAACATTGAAGGATGTTTTTTATAATGTTAGTTATCATTTAATAGTTGAATTTTTAAAAGAATTAGATTTGTTGACTGATCTGTAAATAGCTATATATTCTATTATTGGTAGTTTAGATTAGAAACTGAGATTGTTAGTGGCTGTACCCTCAAAGGGGGTTGAAGTAGCGTAAAATGATTGTCCTCCTGAGAGGGTACGTAAGCCCCAACACTTTCAAAGTAAAATATAAATTATCACGTTTTAGACGTAGGATTTTTGTTATTTTAACTGTTGGCTAAATTTTCCTACAATCGCCAGCGTCTGAAGGGATGGTGTAAATCCAACTAGGATCCATGCAGGTAGCAAAAGTAATGTAAGTCCCCATGGTTCCTAGTATGGTGATCTACCTTCAGTTGTTGGCGATCTAAAGCCCATTTTTACATTGTATTGTCCAAAAATAGTTTTGTACTTTTAAAGATATATGCTAGCTAGTTTTAACTCATTTTGTGATACTCTAGTGGTTTTACTGTCCTTCGTTGACAGGGTTTTATATATTATCTGTATGTATTATAAATTTAGAACTAGTTTTAGTCATGATATGGCTGAAATATTGCCGATGTGACTTTAAATTTTAACTCACTCACTTCAATGTCTCCTGAAATGTTCACCTGAAACAGTTATTGTGGAAGTTGTTGTAGCTGCTCATGCTGACGAGGCCTCCAAATGATGTACCCATGGAAATAAATCCTTGCAGCAAAGCCTCAAGCCAAACCTTTCAGTGGAATAAGACATAAGACAATACTTTCAGGTTTTGTTGTAACATGAGAAGATGACATTATGTGTGTTACATAGGAGGTAATAGGTTATCCTTGTTCTGAAACATGATTTACATGCAAGCGTCAAGTCCGTTTGTTCGTTGGTTCTGATGATGACCATTCCCCGATTGTTATCACATTAATAATACTTAAGTATCTTACTTGTACATTGCCGAGCCGAGAGAAGTCTGGACGAAGGAAATACAGGATACCCTCCCCAGCACCCGGCATCATGCACGACCTGACCAGCAAAGCCGTCAGGAGAACGTAGGGAAGAAGGGCAGTAACGTACACAACCTGGTTTATAGAAATGACAGCAAAATCACTGTCTGTGAATGCTCCGAACAGGTACGTGATGACAAAAGGCAGTAGTCACAGAACTCAGCCACACGACAAACAGTCATCACGGGGTTATCTTGTTCAATGAGCATCGTTCGACCAGCCACAGAGAACATCAATTCGTTTACAAGTGAAAAACTATTCAGAAAAGCAAAGGTGTTTAATGTCTCTTCTCGTGTACATCTCATTTCTTATTTGTAAAGGGTGTAACAGGAGTGTTAGGTCTGAGGCATATGATATTGGTATCCCACCTTTCCAACAGACTTCACACCTTTAACCATACACAAAAATGCAAGAACCCACGAGGCGAAGATGCAGAGGACAAGATGAACCTGAACTGTTCCGAAATTGTCAATACCGCTCGACACTCGCAGTGTGTTGTACCTGTCAAATCAAGTATGTAATTTATCAAGATGGATCAAACTACATTCGATACATCGGGAAAGCTACGGGTCAAATACCATCTAGGACAATTGCCACCCAGGACAACTGCCACCCGGACAATTGCCACCCAAAACATAAAAAAATAATTCAGTCTCTTTACCAACTTTTATTGAGTTTGACTTGGTAATCCATAACAAATGATAACATATTCTGTGTCTTTTATGGCAAGCATCCTTTGCTAATGTTACTTTTGATGGAACAGAAATGGTTTGAAAGATGGCAAACTACTTGATTTCTAATACAAGCTCTTACATGGTATTATCTATACAAAAAAGGAACTTTTTATAATGAAATTGCTTGACAATTTAGTTTGCTGTTTCTTTAATGAGCTGAATGAGAGTATTTGGCATGTTTATTGGGTATGTAAAAAAGCACAAACATTCCGGAATGAACGTGAAGGTTGGATGAATAATCATATTGAGGACACAATTGAATTAACAAAAAGCCTTGTTTGGTTTGAAACAGTATGCACTGATAGATAAATTATCTTTATATATGTCCAAAATTGCTGAAGATCGATCAAGACGTTTCTTCCATGAAAATGGTTATGCTTTTTATATGGAAATTATTCACTTTCTGATGAAATTAATCAAAATTTTGTGAACTCAGTACACTAATATTCTCAAATAAAATTACACAAAAATTCAGGTTGGCAATTGTCTTCATTATTATAGTAAAAATAACTAGCTGGCAATGTTCGTGGGTAGCAATTGTCCTAGGTGGCGATTGTCGTACTTGATGACATTGTAATGGTTCAGCCGTAATTTGTTTTTTCACAGCTAATGATATGATTATCATTTCCATATGAGTTTATCATATTGATTGTTTTTCTGTAATATGATTATATCCATGGCATCTTTAAGTCCTAAGGTAGACCTACATGAGTATGCACGGATTTATGAACCCACAGACGACCTGACGTCGTCAGGAGTATGTATTCATGTTCGTACAACGTCTAAATTCCTTTCAAGAACTTCAGATGAATGTATTGCATTGCATTTCTTTTATGCAGGACAATTATAATTTCTCAAAGCAACCATTAAACCATTCTTGTTTTAAATTGTCAGTATTTCTTAAATAAGTTACAGACTACAAATACTGTTTTGTGTATTTGTTGTTTAACGCCGCATTCAACAGTATTTCAGCTATACGTAAATTATCGAATTTCTGGACCGGATTATCTAATGATTACACCATAAGCATTAATCTACACAGTAGAGATCCGACGATATATGTCAACCTAATCAACGCGCCTCACCACCGAATCCTTCCGTCGTCTCGGGTGATCTGTTCATAGTGAATTACTGCTGAGCTTCAGTGAGGAGCCTCAAATATTGTCTGTATGTTTGGTGTAAATACGACGCCATGTTGCAAGCAAAGAAAACAATTTGAGTGTACAACCCTGAAGCAAACCTATTTTACTTCTCATCAATAGTTTTGACTCACTAATGTAAATATAGCCACTTACTTCAGGCAACTGTTCTAAACTAAATTTTGCAAAATATGCCATACTGTTTAAAAGCACTGTTTACACATGAACTGATGTATTGTAAAACAAATTCGTAACGTTGAAGAGATTATTGTCATGAGTTCAATAAATGATGAATATGTATCAAAACTTTACACCACAACGCAGCTGATTCCCCAAAGTTAGTGCAGAAATCAATCTTCGATGTAACCATATATATATATACATAACATATAGTGAGTGCTGATTTTGAGTCTGAACTTTTGAAGAGAAGTATATTAATACTCAGTGGGAGTCACTGAGCAAAACCGCACCAAGATAATTTGATTATCCCAAATGGATAAAATAGAACTATTTGAACAAATGACATTGGGAATGCTGTTAGTTCAAGTGCTCACAGACTTATCGTTCCCCATGAAACAGTATAACGTCCACGTCTCTCAACGCATTTTTCCTGTTTTTAATTTTTATGTTTGGTGAAAGTGGTCCACAATCTCCGACACGTGAGGGGTGATGTCACCATGTCCCCAAGTCTGGTGATCTGCCTTCAGTTGCGGGAGATCTTTTGCCAGCTTTAACAATGTAATGCTGAGAACTGACCAGTGTTCATGTTCACATGTGTTGTCTTTAGTCAGTATCTGCGATATTCTACTTCCTTTACCATTCCTTGTCGACAGGTTATATAATTTTAACACTATTTATTGTTTATATGTATCTTTGGTTTAGTCACGACATGGTTGAAATGTTGCCGATCGACTTTGAATCTGACTCTCTGGTCATACAATGTCGGTAGGCCTGTCATGGGAATGTTGGGGTTGTGGGGTGTGCTTGTATGAGCATGACATGGAATTTCATTTCGTTGCAGTTTTTGTGAATAGCGGATTCTACCGGTTGGGCAGGACATACTTATCCTTTTGGTGGAGGCCTGGTGTCATCACTGATTTTCAGTAAGCCATTCATATATTATTATTCACTGATTTTTCATTTGTACCAAACAGACTTTGTTTATGACGATTGTCAAAATTGGGTATCCTTTTGCACTGACTATCTATATTGTGACCATAAATACGAAGTTTGTCTAGTATTACCAGTCAAATGGCACAGGTCTGACTCATATTCTTTCATTTAAACATTATTACATGTCACTAAAACCTCAGATCTTACTGCCAAAACTCTTCTGATGCCGTCAACGTCACATTGGGCTTCCGCCATACAGAGTTGAGCAGCCGAGGATCCTCCGTGCTGTTAGTCAGGTAGGCGTCGGTGATTGATGAGCTGTTACTAAGCTTAGTGACGCATAGAGGCGTGTTCCACCAGTTGTCGCATGTTGTCCATGGCAACACAGACAAAAATGATTTGTACAAGTAGTAAACAGACCAGGCAATAATGAGGTTGTAAGGCAGGGATGATATGAAACAGGTTGCAACCTGAGTGATGCCAATACCTGAAAATAGAGTATTATATGGTATTGTTATTCAGTCATGTAAGACTAGTGTTGTAATTTTATTACATTGGTACTGTTAAGATTCAGAAGAGGATATAAGTTGGGACTTTCTAGAACAGCCAGAATAATGTTAAATAAAATTGAATGTTTCCGTGTGCAAACAGTCCTATTAAAAATATTGATTCATTGATATGCCCAAACATGATACAAGCTATATATCGGATCCATCAGTGTCATAGATAATAATACATTTGAAATAGTGAAATGGAAGTCTGAAGACATTCGTTGATTGATCGCCTGTGCAGAAAGGGCGTTTACTAACCTTTAAGCAAAGGACAAATGGACCAAGCATATAATGCACTCCTGCTCGAGAACTGGCCAATGGAAGCCTCAAGGAAGAAAAGTGGAACGGAACACGTGAGAATCCCAGCAAAGTAGGGAATGAGAAACGCACCTGGTAAATAGAACATTCTTTGTGAATGTAGTGAGCTGTATATTCTAACTACTTTGCAAAAGCCCTGAAAGTTGATCGTTTGTCTCAGTCATAAATATTATCAGCTGTATGGCGGCGGTCTGTTAATATTTGATGAATTTCACGATCAGGCTTGTAGTGTAATGAACATTGACACGTATCCACCGCGATTACTGTTCGTACCCTTATATTTTAAAGATGAAACAACAGGTTGCCAAGAAGAAACGGTCATACACATTTTGCTAACCGCACTTAGAGAATCACTGTAGCACTCAATTATTGGGATCTTCATTTTGTATGTCATGCTTTCCACAACCGTGAAGATCCGAGTTAGGATTGGTCTTCAGCAATCCATGCTTATCGTAAGAGGCCACTAACAGGATCGGGCTCGCTGACTTGGTGGACACATGTCGTCGTATCCCAATTGCGTAGATCGATGCTCGTGGTGTTGATCACTGGATTGTCTGGTCCAGACTCGAGCATTTGCAGACCGATGCTATAGCTGGAATATTCCTGAGTGGATTAAAGAATATCTCAATCACTCGAGCATATATATATACACACATATATATACATACACACCGTCATATTCATTGAGTGCAGCGTAAATATATAACTCATTCTATGAATGTCACAAGTCTAGTGCTTTCTGCCACTATGTGAACGGAACGGGGACTGACATATCCTACCCTCTCCACATTGTCTATCATCTTCCAGACTCCATTATTTACAGATCACCGCCATATTGCTGGAACATTGCTGAGTGCAGCGTAAAAGTAAACTCATGCTACAACTCACTCATGCTTTCCGCCCATGTGTAAACCTGACACGACAAATGAATACTGCATATACAATTCCCTGAGAGCGATATTATCAGAGGTATCTGTATTTTTCATAAAGCATAATGTATAAACATTGAATGATTCTTTTAATGGGCATTTAATGGCGCTTTTGGGTTTCTAGAAATTACGTTGTCTACTGAAATACTAAAACCACATGAAGTGTCAAGCAGTCCAGAGACCTTCTTGCGAGCAGCACGGTAAAATGTATTCGACTAAAGCCTACAAATGTCGGGACCACCCTTGATTTTCCACAGTTGGGCACAGCAGGAAAGAAGTCGAAGTTCATTTGTCAAGGTTTTGTACAGCCTGCCATGCAAGGTTAACTATCATAAAGAGATCAACAGCATGAGCATCGATCTACGCAATTGTGATACGATGACGGCAACCTCTCCCTCAACCCAATGCTAACACAATGCTCTGCTGTCCCTGGTTCAGTGTTGTAGAGAGAATGTGATACTGTGACAAACAAAGTGGGTGAGTCAGTATAGTTTTACGCCACTTTTAGCAATATTCGAACACTATCGCGGCAGGGAAAGCCAAAAAATCGGCTTCACACATTGTACACATGTGGGAATCGAACCCTGGTCTTCGAACACTTTAACCACTAGGCTACCCCACCACCCGACAATCAAAGTTGCAATTGTGAGCTTGAACTTAGCATGTATAAAGCATGTCTGGGAATGTTACAAACAATTATGACAATGATTAAACGGATTCACTTCATACAGCAAGTCGTGCTTTTTTTCTCGGCGTTGTTATCGGTTACATTCCTAATGACGTTATTGTAATTTTGAGATGCCGTTTAACCTGGACAGGTAGTAGCTGTTTTCGTAAAGGCAGTTCAGCGCTACATATTGATCATGAACTGGCTGATCGGCTAGTTATGTCAGAACAATAACCTGGGCCTGACTGTTGCATAATGACACATACTCAGCATTGAAAATACTTTGAGTCATTGTTACAGCGTTCATAATCATAATTTCTTCTTCAAATATATTTATTTACGTTTTAAGCCAAATATCACAATCAGCTTTATTTCAGATACATATTCATCTTGGGGCAACACTGCAAGGTATCATGACATGGTAAAAAATGATGTATCACCATGGTACGGTGATGATGTCTTGTCCTCAAAAAGACGCAAGCGTGTTGCTGAACGACGTTGGCGCAAGTCTCAGCACAAGATACACCGCCAGATGTACAACGCTGCTCGGCAGGAATTGAAAACCATTATCAGAAAAACTAGAGCAGATTACATTAACTCTGAAATCATCAAAGCTGAGGCTGATCCCAAACTGGTGTTTTCAAAACTTAATGGCTTATTAGGTAGAAAACAAGACGTTATATTACCTAAAGGAAGTGATCCTGTCACTCTTGCAAACAGTTTCTCATCCTTCTTTGCCAGCAAAATTTCCGATTTAAGTGGGAAAATTGGCTCATTCTGTGATAACCTGTCCTGTAGTGAGTTTAAAGGTGAACATTTCAGTAACAAAATCATCAAGGACACAAAACCAACCTGGTGTTGCCTGGACTGTTTTCCAGCCAAGTTACTTCTTCAAATCATGGACTGTGTTCTGACAGTTATAACCAAAATTGTCAACTTGAGCCTGTCAACCGGAGTGGTTCCGGTAAGCTTCAAGAGAGCTGCCATTAAGCCTACGATCAAGAAGCCTTCCCTTGATCCAGACATCTTGAAAAGTTACAGGCCAATATCTAATTTATCTTTCTTGTCCAAAGTCTTGGAGAAAGTTGTAAAAATCCAACTTTTGGAACACATGGAGACATTTTCCCTTCAATCTGGGTACAAGTCTAACCACAGCACGGAAACGGCCCGTAATTGTGTCCTTGACCAGATTATATTATATAAATTATTATTGATTACACGGTCATAATCTGACCTTCACTACTATATTAATACATAATATATTACAAACGCATGTCCCGAATTAACTAAGTTGATACCAGTTAGTCACACTTACCACCACCATTTCTGTGACAAAGGTAGGGAAATCTCCAAATTGAGCTGAGGCCAACTGCATACCCAAGCAGTGAAAGAAAATACTCTCTCTTCCTTGACCATACCTCTCTGGTTCCTACTCCATCATTATTCTCGTTGGTGGATGTTTGAGAGTCAGCGTTCAGAAACACGTCAGGCTCCGACATGGCTGAGAATCTATGTAAAACTGTGAAACGTGGAACGCTACCAGTCTAGTAATGCGTGGAAATGTGGTGAAGCCAACCATTGGTTGTCAACATGTTATGCCCAACCAAGCCCTATGTTACATCGAACAGAACGCGATACACTTTTGCGCCACTTACAAAACCACGGCAAGTGGCAGGCAATTAATAACACACTGGAGATTGATGTCATAAACATCAAGTCAGTTATTTGTTGTCTACATTTTATGCTCTACTGAGTCAGTTCAATATGGTCTGACTAGTAAGTAGGCACTTCTAGTCAGAAATAGTCACTGCAAGGGGAAAAGCATCAAAGAGCACCTATATAATCATATTCAATACACGCTTGTGTAACTTACGACCCGTCACAGACAATAAAACACTGGAATTTTGAGTCATGAATACAAAGTGTATTCTTTTCAAAGCGGTTGCAGAGCTGCCAAATCCTCCTATGATGGAATTTAATTGAATTACGTTTTCGCTTGTCCTTCACTTTTATGGATAATTGTCAACATTGATAGATAAATCGTGTCACGAACATTGAGGATGGTGATCAATCGTCGATCGGGTAATTAACGTTATCTAATTGATGTTAGACCTGTCTTATATAATGATTTGCAGTTGGCTTTTCCAATACGCTTTAAACGTTTTATTTGGTTCAAACAGACCGGAAAAGCTCACGTTATTAAGATTCAATACATGAAGTCAAATACATGCACCAAGAGTTAGCGAATGTCTCATGGTCAAACGATAATTGTAATAGATGATGATCATGGTTTTTATAACCCCGATTACATTATCTCAACTAACAGATCAATTCACTGTTGACTATTCGTCCACGCCCAACCACTCCCGAAAATGACGTATATTCACAATCCGTATGTTGTCCGTATATGTAGTCATGACCATTGTATTCCTGCAATGAATTTGGAATTCATAGTATAATAATATATGCTAATCATCCTCGTGTAGTCTCTTCTGAACGTGGTGCTTATTTACAATTTGTTTCGTCAGAAAAAGCAACGCGTGAATGTAAACGGGCTAGTCCCATAGATGACAAGGGCCAGCCGTAGAGCAGAGTTCTTTATTTTTGATCCAGCCAGATGTAGTGGTACGCACTCGCGATCAATTCTGCAACATGTTATAGTACATGTACAGGTGTCACAGAATATAACATTTAAATACAACTAACTATTTAAGGAAAATTACAGAAACATTAAATAAATACAACTAACTATTTAAGGAACATTACAGAAACATTAAATAAATACACATATGGCCAGTGACAGCTATTATAATTATTGAAAATAGCACTATGGATAAAACTACCAAATTAAACATAATTACCAGCTATGGGCTGAATCAAAAGGCTGGTGCTTCATCAGAACGCCTTCACTAGTATATCTGAACACAATATCAAAATTATAAATGCTTTGCAAAACACTAGTATAAATTAGACCACAAGTGCAATACAAATTGTTTTGCACAAATACATCACCAAGATATTGGAAAGTATTTTATATCAACATTCCATATACTTTCAACAATACTTTAAAAAACCATAAACCAATTGAAATATTTTTGTATGTTTATCCTTAATAGAATACATTATAATACATAAACTAACTTTCAGTTCCTTCAAGACCAAAACATGTGTCCCTGGTGAAGTTGCCAGCCAGAAAGAAAAATACTGAGCAACTTCCCTTGCATGAAAAGCATGAGCAGCAACTTACAGCCAATGAGAAGTTTCAAGGCTTCTTCATAAACTTTAGGCCAATCAGCACAGTTGGTATAACATTTGAACAGTGAACTATCCTTACATAGGTGGCAAGGCTCCAAATTAGTGGTCCTGAGGGTCCCTACCTCATTATGAAATTAATATTTTAAAGCTTATAATTAAAACCAAACACCAAAACAATGCCAAAATAAATACAGTGTTTGCACCCTGTTACATGAATGTTGTACGTTTGTTTTCACGTATATGCGTATAGGTATCTTCATACTGAATACTATGAATTCACAGTAAGGAACATTTTCGCGTTCATGATCATGCATGTTCGAAATAGCTCAAAGTGTGAAGTAACTTAAATGTTGTACACAGATAAATGATGCATAGGATTGAAGTTTTTAATGTCATAACATAATTGTGATACTCTCCCTTGTCTTTTTGTCAATATACATTGTGGTATATCGACATAGTTCTGAATTTATTACTGATCAAGATTATATCAATATGTGATCTGTTAATTTAAATTATATTCACAAAAACATCTTTTAATCAAATACTGAACAATGTGTTCGTAGAATATATTTGTAGTAGACATCTCCAGCACTGAAGTCTCCCAACCAGGCTAATCACTACGTTAACTATGCTATCGCGACTTAATGATTTTGTTGTATTTTGATTTGATTCTGATATGTATTATAAATGCTTTCGATGTTTCTTCGTACATCCTTGCTATCTTGGTAATTATTGTTTTTATTGGCATTTACTTGTCTCATGAACCACCGTTGGTGGGGTTTCTAGAAATAGAGAAGATGATGATGTTGTGGTATCTGTGCATAAACAATGACATCTACAACAAAGGGTTTCAATAAACAATGTAACTGAGTGTCACTCGCTAAGTCCACATTCAAACGCGGTTAGTTTGTTTACATTTGTTATGACTGTTGCCAACGTTGTACGACATAATCTTCTTCTATGCCTATTAACTCATTAAGCCCGAGAGCCCCATCACTACTCAACACCTGGAAGCCCTCGCTGATTGCCCACTCTCTGTGCCGAGACTAATTAGTGCTAGTCACACCTGATTTCCCTGGCAGGTTTCGGGGATCACAGGAAACTGTCTAGTCGTACAAACAAGTCCTGATTGTTTAATTCTGTCGTAAAGATATATGTTGAAAGAAATCAGGTGTGAATACATGTCGTGTATTGCAAGCTTTATGTAATTTTATTGCAAGTTTCTCTTGGAGACCTTTTGTCGGCTTGTACATTTATATTTTATCACAATATGCATACACATGTATTCTTTGTATGTAACAGATGAGACACACGTTAACAAATTCTCTCTCTTATATCATTGTGTGAGGCTTAAATTTACAAAACATCTATGACAATGACATACTGTAAAGAAGAATTTACTTTCATACTTTATAATCTTCGACGAAAATAGCGGTTTTGCCGATACATTTCTAGTGTTTACAAATTATTTTAATGAAAGTACTATAACGCTAGTCTGTGACTAGCACAAAGCACATTCGTAGCATTGCACTTTTCTTCATACAGATTTAATGCAGAAAATATACGTCACCATACAAACATACATATAGAAAATGTATACTACATATTCCTTGCATAGACATAAAACAAAGAGTCACGTGATAGGGCGTCATCAAATTTCCCGAATAGAACGTTCGGTATCTCAACTGTTCAATGTAGTGGCTGGTCATATGTTATCTGCGACTAATCGTATCATGAGATACCTGTCACAGAGGAAAGGACAGGTGATGGGGCGAGGGCGAAATTTCTGAAGAGCACGTTTGGTCACTCAGCAGCTTGGATAGAGATTGGTTATTGGCTATATCCTTGACCAGTCGATATGCTGGGTTTCGGCTTTATCAATTCAAGCTTTCATGTAACAGTTTGTGTATTGTAAACATACATACTGGTATCTCAACTGTTCAGTATAGTGGCTGGTCATATGTTATCTGCGACCAATCGTATCATGAGATACCTGTCACAGAGGAAAGGACAGGTGACGGGGCGTGGGCGAAATTTCTGAAGAGCACGTTTGGTCACTCAGCAGCTTGGATAGAGATTGGTTATTGGCTATATCCTTGACCAGTCGATATGCTGGGTTTCGGCTTTATCAACTCAAGCTATCATGTAACAGTTTGTGTATTGTAAACATACACACTGGTAACGATGTATGAAATATACACATAAGACAAATAGGAGTAGATAGTCACTTTGGCGAGATTATTTGTCCTCATTTTAGTGTTTTTCGATAAGTAAAACAAAGCGATTGAAATCCAACCACTGAGTAGAGGTAGTATTTATTTTCATATACATTTTATGCACACAACTAGTACATAAAACATAATGGCTTGCTGTACATGTAAATATAATCTTCACCTTGATACGAATGACTATCCAAACTAGAGTACACGCATTACAGAATTCACGAGGTGACACTATACTGAATTTATATAGTGTTTAAACTTGCAGTTGACACCCCCACCCCCAATATTTATGAAGGTGGGCGTGCCTATATCTTTACTGAATGCAAACGAGGTTCATAAGATTACAGATGTGCATGCATGTATAAACATCACAAAGAGGGGCGTGACTCCATCAAGCAAGATGTCCAATGATATAACAGCGCATCTGTTTATTTTACACTTGTCACGGGACAAACAAGGACGTAACTACATATGCATTCTACCGGAGGCTGTTATTTCAAGGTCGAAAGAGGCGTTCAATTATCTCATTACTGTAATCTGCTTGAATGATTATACGCATGTGTATCGATACCGTAACTGATATACCATCCAGCTTTGATTGACGATGGATCAATAGAGACTGAGTTGATTGATACACGTGATAATTGCACCGGATTTGATAATTACACAGATCAAATACAAACGTTTTACAGAATGCTCATGTAAATTGCATAGAAAACTGACAATTCAAATCAACATAAAAAACTTTCAACAGCTTGAACAAAAATGCTTGAAATACCTTTGTATGGCTTACATGTAATAACTTATGATATTACTTCTGTCCATGTGTGACAATGTTTTGAATTACCAACTTACTGTCTTTTGTAACAAACGTA